TGCACTCAATGCATGGAGAAGAATAATCTGTCTCAAGTCTGTGTTGACCTGTTTCTTTGGAGACAAAAACAAGAAAGCAACAGGTGTAGTATTTACCAGTTGAGGAACGCCAACAAAAAAAAAAACCCAACAACATTTTGTCGTGGATTCAGTGCTGCAGTGTACTCAGAACGTTCTCTGTTTTTCAACTGAAGGTTATGAAAAGCCTTGGAGCCTTAACAGCATGTCTGGCATGAGCGGGGATGCCTCTGGAGTGTCCTCAGTGTCTGCCCTGCCCTGCAGCCCACCCTGTCTAATGCAGCACTCACATTCTCCCATCCCATCCATTATGTAGCATGGTTGAGTAGCAGACACAATGCCATTGGAGGGCCAGTCCACACTCTTCCTTCTTATCCTTCCTGTTTTTTCTTTTGTTTTTACACTTGCCTTTGCTCCTGCTTTCTTTCATTTTTTTTAATTTCTTTTATTTTACTGGAAAACTGTATCTTAACTGTGCTAGTACTCAAGCTTCCCAAGTGTTCTCCTTGGGTGTGTCATCATATCCTAGACTAGAAAACATTGGCACATGCCACTCTGCATGGGTCACCTCAGTTGCAGACAAAGCACTGTTCTACTTCTACCACAGGCTAACCCCACTCTCTCCCTGTGTTTACATCATTGCCTGTTGCTCTGTTGCTTTTGATCTCACATACTCTCCTGCCAGTAACTTTCTTATCTCATCTGCTTTTACAATTTTGTGAAAGAAATTTTCATAAGATGTAACCCCTGCTAACAGCCCAATGTGCTGGACATTGACAATACATGGCTTTGAAACATATCCAAATGGTACCATTGCCAGCTGTTAAGGGAACTCCTCTAAAGTGCTTTGTGACGTTGCAAAGTAGAGACGTTACCTTTCTGAAAGTGAAATCCAGACGAGGCTTAATGTTATATTGAGTGGCCATTAGAAAAATATTATTATAAGATGATGTTCATGATGTCCAATGCAACATGGAGATGATGACAATTCACATACTAGTGATGAATACATCCAATGTCAAAAGAACTAAAACTGTTTGTTCATTTGCATGAACTGCATGAGAAATTATGTTCAACATGAACCTAACTGTATCGTAGTACCTGTAAGAAAAAAAAACTTTTTTCTTTCAAAAGCTTCTAAAGCTTTGTCATGTTTTATGCATTTTGAGACAGCTTTACAGAGACTCAGTCATAGCAGAGGTTTTATGTAGCTGCCATTCTTTGCCTTTCCCCAAATTAATACATTCATTTTATTTATTCGACAGGGGCCTCCAGCTAAAATAGTATGATTTGACTTGAACAATCCGCCATAAAGCCAACTAATGCTGTTATGAGCATAGCCAGTTTTTATACTAATAATTACGTAGTTACGAGTTTTTAAAGTGCCGTTAGTCTGCAGCAATTTCACTGAATGCTGTGATGCTTAAAATTAGTGCAAAACTCATGAATTATTAAACAACGGTGCCTTCGTACCTGGTGAGGCAAAAGCTATGTCTCAATTCAGGGTCTGCATCCTTCAGAGGATGCATTTGAAGGCCACTTGCGTCACAGTGGCTCAACTAGGCTGTTTCAAAGGCTCCTTCACATGCTGATGCCAATGCATTTTACCATACCCAAGAAACGAGGGCTCCAACCAATAGATCCTTCTCGTCCCAACCTATCCCAGGATTCATTGCACTTTGGTGACAAATATTTTTTCAAAGAGGTAATCATGCCAGCAGGCAACGAGACATCCAACACTTCAACTGAACCTAACAGATAACTATGCACACATAAAAAAAACTAAGGGGGATTAAAATGTCTCAGCGAGTCCAACCTCAGCTTCGGTGACACTCGTAACACCAATCACGGAAAACCTCTGTAGACCAGACCGACTAATTTCATTTTGGCCTTTGCGGTCTACACAGCACACGAAGGAGGCGGTCTTAGTGGATCAGGAATATAGTGTCAGTGACAGTGATGCAGCCCCTGAAATAAGAGACAAGTAAAGCAAAAGAGAAATGATATTACATACGTGCTCCCAGTGTAGCATCGACCACTTTATATACCATGCTCATAACAGTGTGACGAAAGCTTTATTCTACAAGGTGCACCTTGTACTTTTTGCACCTCCCTACGTATCCTTAATCATAGCAAAAAAAAACGTGAATTGTTACACCATACAATCCACAGTAGAACTTAACCTCTAGTGAAACACAACTCCAGCAAAAAACACCAGAAAATACTTTCTTAATATCCCTAACTCAAGAAAGATTTTGTATTGTAAAGCACAAAATGTTATTAAAAGGGACCAGGTAGGTAATGATGACTCCTGCAGTATGTATGTCTATTGATTTAAAAACATCAATACTGATACAGGTACATGTATTGATACTGTCCCAATACTTATGCACAATTTTTTCAGGGCACTTTAACAAATTTTATGTTGATCAATCAAATAAAAGAAAAAAGAAGATACATTTCTAGTAGAAGATATTAAGAACAGCATCTCATCTAAGTTTTTTTTAATTCTGATTGAGCAGAGTTTTACTTTTCCAGTTATGTCTCTTGTGGTAATTAATGGACGTTATATATTTCAAAAGAGAAAAAAAAACTTGTGAAGATTTGATGTGAAGAGATGCAGATGAATTATATGCTCATGCAATTCAAGTGAAAAAGAAAAAAAGAACACAACACATTTTGTTATGTGGGTCTATACTTGGGGAAAGGTAAATGCATGTATTTTACATTTATGCAACAGAAAAGTATTCAAATAAAAGATGTAAATACGAGTCCTTGCATGAAATAAATTTTATACACAACGAGCGTTTAGACTCCGTTTTTATTCAGCAGCACATGCATACATACAACCTTCTTATACTGCTAGCATACGGCTAGTGGTACCTACTGCTGTTTGACCCTCGGTCCACCTGTGTTCGGGCCAAAGAGGATTTAAAAAAAGGAAAACGAGGTGACTGTGAGAGCATGATGAGAAGTATACAAACGCATGAGTGACTGATCTACTGTAGATAAACCCGTAGAGCGCCGCATGATCGGGCATGTTTATTAACCGACTCAGAGTCCAACCTCTACACTACATCGTTGTCTGAGGCCTTGGCTAAGCATGGGAAACACATGGTAAACCTGTCGTTTACCATGAAAAACTAACGGAGCACATTTTCTTTACTCTCCAAGCTAGTCTCATCTCTTCAGCTCTGTTACCCGCACCTCAGACCTCTCCATCACCGCCATCATTTCCACCATTATACATAATTTGTGTAATAATTTTTTTTTGTTATTGTTTTTTTTATATGTTTATAGAGACCCAGCGACAGCACCGGAGCAGACAACCAACAGAGTCAGTTTGTGTTATGAACCATGGTGTACCAACCACTATGTGTATGACCCATAACGGCCCATCACCCACCTGATAGTGCTGTAGCTATGTTGTGTGTATTACTTAGTATTTTTAATGGGTGTGACAGTGGCAACCTGTACATCACAAACTCAGCATAGATGTAGCACTGAGGAAAGTTTTGTTGTCAAGCCTTATATAGCCCAGTATCTGTGACTGGTTACTGTGTTGTAATTTTGTGTGCCTATTTTGTGTGTGCCAGTGCTGTAAATACGCTTTTTTTGTGTGCTGAAGCTGTGTGTACCAATGTTTTTGAGTGATCATCCGATATCTGTGTGCTTCTTCTTCTGTTGAAAGAAAAAAAAATGTTGCTCCGATTCAAACCCCCCCTCTCCCTCACCACACAAACACACACACACACACACACACACACACACTCATACACACGCACAGTGTCCCAAACAACCTGTCACGTGTCACGTCAGCCAGACTAAACTAAATATTGTTAACTTTGCACTGTCATGGTCACATCTTCGTAGACTTTCTTGCACTGTTTTGCACCAGTGACCTTTTCTTAACAGTCAACAACCTTTTATAAGTTTTGAGGCATCAGAGTCAACATCCACAAAAACAAAAATGTAAAATATAAGGTTATATTTTCAAAAATAAATTCCCCTATCTTACATTTTAATAATGAGGCATTCAAATGACAGAATGCCGTCAAGAATTGGTTCAAACTTTTGTTGGCTAAGCAAATGACCAATACATATATTCAGCTTTCATTGAATGTTGAAGAATGTCCGTTTACTGCTGTACTACAATTAACAAAGTCATTTCACAGCTCATAATTATTCTGCAGTATGTTTTAATTGACAATCATGTAGAATTGGACTTCTATTCTTTTTCTGCACACATGCAAATTGGTGTATTAGTGTGTAACTAATGCCAAAACCTCATACGCCTCACCCTGGATAAGTGCCTCTGTTATGCAAACTTTTCTCACCATTCAGGAGTTTCTTAACATGATGAACCTAAATGTGCGTTTTATTTCAAACTAACTATACAGTCATCAGCCATTAAAACCAGTTATTTACTCAAAAAGCACACAGGATATAATGAGAGCCCCTGTATGGATCAGTTTCTAAAGGCAAAGCAGTGAGCATACGTAAAAAAAAAAAAAAACAGTCATCAGGTACAGATTCATTATCTGTGTGGAAAAGTTGAGAGTGATGAGGGACCAACTTTTTAACCAAACCACTGCGGAAACACTGCCAACAATTTGCTGAGACCTGCGTGCAGTCAGGTTACAGCAGATCTGGAGCTGATCACAAATGGGTGGGGGGGCAGTGTGCTGATCATTGTCCAACAGAATAAAAAAAGAAAAGAAAAGCAAACAGCAGCTGTTGTCATTAATGGAATTAATAACACAACTAAGAGGCAACTAATGTGTGCCGTTTAGAGAGACTTCAGAGTGTGTTTTGAACACCGTGCATTTTGTGGTTAGTAATTTCAAAAAAAGGTGTTCAGTGATCGTTTTGATTGGTTTGTTGTTGAGGGATTTTTTTGTGTGTGTGTTTTTTTTAAACAGTTCAGGCTTGTACAATAAATAGTGATAAATAAAAAAAACACAGAAATGATCTTTTTCAGCGAGTGTTGATTTTTTTTTTATTTCAGCTATACTTAATTTTCATTAATGCATAATTCGAGTGAAATCGATGGTCTCCACATTTAATTTCACAAACGATCATTCTAAAGTGAAACCTTTAAAATTCGAAAGTAAAGATAATGTTAACATATCATCCCTGAGCCATATTGAGTGCTACTGCCCTTGAAGGAGGCACCGGCTTAGGACCTGCAGCTGTTCCACAGGTGCTGCATTGCGGTCGCTCACAGCTTATAAATATGTAGGTTGGGTTAAATGCAGCGGACATGTTTCTCCCAGGAGGGATGAATTAAGGATAGTAGTGGTGCAAATAAGACAATCATAACTGGTAAAATAATAAATGAATGATGGACATTTGGAAAATAAAAAAAGAACCCACGTATGAGCGGTAAATCGTGATATCCACTATAAACTGCAGATTGATGACCTCCTGACACTCAAGATGACAGCAATAAACCCACTGACATGGGAAGATGGAGGTATAGCACCATTGTAGCCCATTCCTCACATGATTCTTAACAGCAGGAGGACTGGGAGCCACAGACACGCCCATGTCCTGCAGAGCTGTCCCAGTCATGTCCATCAAAGTGACAGGTTGGTCAGAGAAATGATGGCCTCTGTCCACATGAAACATACTCCAGCCCACATACGACCACATGAAGGTGTTAATGACGACATTTTAAAGTATGACCTGCTCAGGTGGCTTTTGAAAGGTGGAGGTTAATTAACTTTTTAGGGCTCTGCAAAGCACCAATACATCACTGAATCAGTCAGAAATGTCATTGTGTCATTTCACAAAGCCCCTCTGTTTTTCTTCTCTGTGATTGTCACACCGCATGACTGTCCCTGATGGAGTTGGTGCAGAGTTGTATCTCGAGCCAGTCATGGCGGTGCACACTGCCATTGAGTGTCCAGCTCCGCAGCCGATGAGAAGAGGTTGGAGACCAGATATGAGCTGAGGCTTAGAGACGTCTGTCTGTGAGCCGTCGCCGCACATTCCGTGTTCGTTCCAGCCCCAGGAAAGGAGACACCCCCCTGGAAAGGAGAGGGGGTCATGTGTCAGTGGAGCTGACAGGAGAGAGACAGGGATGTAGCGCAGTAGCATGTAGGATAAAATTAGCAGCCTGGAGAAAAGAGAGGCTGTGTGCAAAAATCAAAAAGAGGGCAAGCGATCTCTCACTTACACACATGAATGTGACTTCAGAGGACATTACATTGATTTCCAATAATATGCTGGAGACCCTGGAAAGCTTCCCCCTAACCCTCACCCCTGACCTTAACCTTAAAAAATGTCTTCCCCTTAAAATCTAAAGGTTTACATTATGAGGACTTGCTTCTTGCCCCCATAAGGACGGCACGTCTCCATAATGTGACTGTGTAAACACATTAAGGTCCCCACAACATGAGCAATTACTAGACACCACACACACACACACACACA